ATGCAGATAGTCAATTGAAATGATAGCAAAGACACACTAAAAGTCGACGGTAAAGAAGCCCCAAAAGGGGTGGATTGAATCGAAAAAAAAGGCTTCAAATATCAGTGGCGTCCGTATTCTTACCGCCAAAAAGATAATCAAAGATACAAAACTGGCTTGCGGACACCAGTTGCCTCACAGAAAAAGAGAACAAAATCCAGAAAGGCATAAACCGCAGAAATTGCCTCACAGAAATACCTCAAGATCAGAATGAGAAACGCATTGGAAGTAGAGAATTAAGTAAAAATCACTTAAAGCAAGCGGGAAAAAAGTTAACCTAAATCTAGACGACGAAGCATGAATTAGAAGAATTCTAAAGAAAAAAAAAAAAGAGAGAGAGAGAGCTCAAATGATAGCCTGCAAGTAAGACAGAAACAGTAAAGAGTGGAACGAAAACCTCATAAAGCTCTTTGAGAACAGATTCAGCATTAGATTCAGTCAAGCTCTGGAGGAGGAAGCGAATCTGGGAGGACGTTGCAGTCGAAAACATCAGCATGGCGACCCAAATCGGGAGGGTAGGGTTTTCCAGCAGAAGGAAAAACCGAGGTCCAGCTGAGTGAGTGCGAAGAAGAACAGCGGAACGGAAAGCTAGAGACGCGGGTCGGGGGATCGCTGGAACAGAGAGCAGTCCTGGGAGAGAGAGAGAGAGAGAACACGAAAAAGAAGGAATGATGGCGATCACGAGAGATTAGTGGGCTTTCCCCAGCGAACCTATACGCACAAATGTGGCCTCATAAATTATCTTACCCATTTTCATACATTATTTTTTTCATTTTAATTTTAACAATTTTAAATAAAAACAATCGTGACTTAGGAGTGTAGGAGTGTACGGGTTGGGGTGCGATCGATTAGAGTTTACAATTCAACAGAACAATATATTTTTGGGTTGGGATAGGTTGTCGGGTTGTTCTTTTTTTAATTATTTTAAAAAATTATATTGTAACACTCGAACCCTGACAATAAATTAAGTACATGTTTGTCCTTTTAGAGTCGAACTTTCAAAATTTTATTGAGTGTGTTGGAGGTTGAATTTCAAGACGAGGTAGAATAAAAAAATGGTCAGAGAAATTTCAGGGGTAATTTCGTCATTTTTTCTTCGCCTATTTGGAAGTCTGTAAACCGTTGTTTGGAGTCAGAACTTCACTGGAGTATTTTTACAAGAATTTCTCAGTAGGTAGAGAACGTCTATTATAGGCTTTTGAATCACTCAATTCTATCAATAATGGAGAAAGAATGGTAGGTATGGATTTCAGGTTTTTTATTTCAAGTTTCTCTCGAATCACCGAGTTTTCTTTGGAATTAGGTTGTGATTTTTTTAGTATCTTATTATTTGAGATACTTCGAACAAGTTTCTTGAAGAAATCTCGAGGTGAATTGAACTGAAACGTGTAGTTCTGGCCGATGTCAAGTAAGTGCAAAATTTGTAAGTTTTATATTTTGAACACAGTTACTTTCTTAAAAAAAATATATTTCTAAAGATACTGACGTGGGTGATTAAGCCAAGTTATAAATGAGAAGTTATGAAAAATCCAAAGAGAATGAAAAGGAATCGTAAACTAATCGAATTATGGAAAGAAAGAAAAACTTGTATGTAGTTGATAACGGGCCGACACGCATTAGGTGAGAGGCGATGTAGTGCGTTAAGCTCGACAAAGGACATGTGTCAAGAAGGGGGAGGAGAGGTGCGTCGGCGCCTATCGAAGACACGTATCGCAATGTTAGAGGACAACCTATTCCAACCTATCAACCTAAGACTACATTTGCTCTACGCGCGCACTACAACTCGATCGGGCAACTCAAACTGACCACTCATGCCGCAACCCAACTCAACTGATTGCGGGCCTATAAAAAAAAATGCCACATGTCGCAGTAAGAGTATGACTTCTGATCCAAAAGGCGAGTTGGACTTGCTCGTTAGCTGTGCTCGTAGGTGACGACTTGCACCTTGACCCAAACCAACCCAACGACCTACTCTTTGACCCGCCAACCCGACGTCAACCCAAAGTCGTTTGCATGTGCAGCGCCATGTCGAGCCATCTGCAAACTATGGCTCCCATCTCACCTTAGTCACATGCGTTCAACCTTGTAGCTTGCAATCAGCTCTGACGACTCCAATGACTCAAACGACTCAATTTTAGCATTTTATACTTATTCCACTACTTTGAACCTCTTTTCTACCACTTTTGACTCTTCTAGAATCGATTTTGACATTGTCAAGAGAATTTGAGATAAGTACGGCCACCATTTTAGTCAAATTAAAGCATTCTAGACTAAATTAGAGGTTTAATTATGAGTATTAAGTAAACTAGGCTGCTCAACATGTTTTAACTCGGTGTTGTGAACTCACATAGGTTAACTTAAGTTTCTAGGGACATATTTAAACTAACTAACTCCAAAGATAAATTAGCGACTCCGACTTAAACTACTTGGGTAAGTGGCTCTGCTATTGGTTTGGTTTGATGAATTAATTTAAGTATGAACGATGGATGTCATGTGGCCCTCACACATGTCGTGCTTTGTGATTATTTAATGTTTATTTATTATATTATTGCTGTGGTGTGAATATGTTATGTTATGCGTAGTTGTGAGACATGTCGCGTTACAAAACATCACGTTGACGCGTTATGTCATTGAAATTGTGTCTTGTTACGAAAGTGTTATACCATATTATACACTCCCGTATGAGATGACATGCAATGATTATATTACGCACAAAATGAATGAAGATGTATCATGCATTACAGATACATGACATGATTTTAATCATGAGCATATCATACATATAGTATATTCACATGCATCGAGATACTTCTCTTCTATAAGTGGTACAAACGAGTACCTTACGACATTATGATATGATATTATGTAGACCATAATTCTTCGTGTGTTCCCTTCCTTCCATGACATATCGACAACATGAGTGTACGCTGGTAGAAGACCAAGTCTAGAGGGCACGTGTACGAGTTCGTATAGATCTACATGTGAGTCTTGTGTAGAGAAGTACTACATATTCAATTATGGCCGGACTGAAGTAGAAACCAAGACAATGATATGCTATTTTATGAAATGATAGGTCTCAAGCATGATTGTATTTTATGACTCCAATAGTTTGGTTACTTACTAATTATTTCTTAAAATACTCAAATCATGCTGTTCTTTGGAAGGAGAGTTCAAAGAAATTGTAATGGTTGACCAATTATTAATTAAATTAAAATTATATATAAAAAAAAAAACAAAATAAAGGAGACTTCCAAGGTACACGAATAGGCCATTCCGCGTGTACGTTACCCATCATGTACAGACTTAATATATAAATATATAAATATATAAATAAATAAATAAAAAGGAAGTCGGCAAAGGAAGACAACTGAGAAGGGAAGTAGTTCAGCCTGGCAAAAATAAATCCCCAATTAAGGTCCACACGCCCCTTCTCCTCTCTCCTCTCCGCCCCTTCCGCCTCTCTGCCTCCTCCCCGAAAGAGACCTCTCCGCCCCCTCTCTCTCCCTCTTATTTAACCCCCCCTCTCCCCTCTCCCCCTCAATCATCAACATGGCTTCACATCATCCTCTTCCTCTTCCTCCCGTATGTTGCTTGTGCGGCGATGTCGGCTTTCCGGCCAACCTCTTCCGCTGCACCCTCTGCTCTCACCGGTTCCAACACTCGTAAGAATCCCTTAATTTTAATTCTTTTATTGTTGTGCTAGAATGTTTGTTTAATCCATCCCACCGTAATTTAAAAATTATCTTAAATAAATTAAGCAAAGAGACAGAAAAAAGATTCTTGGTACAAGAATCTAATAAAATACAGTGAACTATAATTTATTACTAAATATCTATTGTTTCGATTAATGGTGATGTTGGGGTTTGGTTCAGTTATTGCAGTAACTATTACGGCGAAATGGCAGAGGCTATTGAAGCCTGTGATTGGTGCAGATGTGAACGGAGATGCGGCCGCCGTGGCTCTGCGGCAAGGAAGTCTGGCGTGGCATCCCAAAAGAGCTCCGGTCAGGATAAAAGAGAAAGAAATTCCGGTGGAATGCCGTCGCCTCGGGTTGCTCCACGGCGGTACAAGCTTCTCAAGGATGTTATGTGTTAAACGTTGTTATTGTTCCAGAAATTTTGAATTTCTCATACAAATATTTTAAGCTTAATAAATATAAATATTTATAAATTTATACTTTTCCAAAAAATATCAATTTTTTTTTTAATGTTTGAATGATACCTTTAAATTATATATTAAAAAAACATCCTTAAACTAGATATATATATATATAAACTTTTCAAAAAAAATAAAAATTAAAAAATGTTCTTATAAAAATTCATTAATATCTTTCAACCATTTTATAAAATTCAAAAATACTATTAGTATATTGGCGGACCCGCCAATATCACGTTGAAAAAATGGTGAAAAATATTCAAAATTAATATTGATTAACACTGGACTCCGAAATTTTTGTTGCTATAATTATATAAATGTTTGCATATCTAACTCCCAATAGGCAAGTACCTTACGAGTATATTCAATACCCACACTATTATAAAAAGGGTACTCCGCACATTTTTACTCATCCATTTTTGGTATAGAAAGTAAATTGTTAGATGAACACGACTCTCTACAATGGTATGATATTGTCACTTTTAGCATAAAGTCTCATGACTTTGTTTTGGGCTTCCCCAAAAAGTACCAATGGAGAGAGTATTTATTGATTATAAACTCATGATCATTCCCTAAGTTAGCCGAGGTGGGACTTTCATCCAACAAAGTCATTACATCTTATATTAATATGATCAAGTTATGCCCTGTGAGACATCTTAATGAATCATCACGTATGATAAGTACGAATGAAATCTCATGCACGTGTGTATGTGTGTATATGTGTGTGTATATATATATCATAGGAAATTCATATTGTAAACTCATGTTCTATGATTTAAAATGCAGGATCTCATGCATGCTTAATATCATGTTTACGAGCTTCTTTCTTGATATATTTTGGACTACTCGGTCAAGATGAGAGCATGTAGTCGAGCATAGGAGTACGTATAGTGAGCCCGTCTATTGGATTCACGGAAAAATCAAAATCTCACTGCAAAACGACGCTGTTTTAGTGGTCATGGAAAAACAAAAAAATTGGAAGTGAAAAAGAAAAAGAAAAAGAAAGAAATGGGAAAATTCCAGGTCATTGTCCACGTGGAAACAGGTGGGTGAGTGGCAGAAGTATCAGACTCCAATTCCAAAGACTCAAACCTGAAATTGGGATTGGATCCGTACAAAGCTTGCACACCTTCCACGTCATCCACTTCCAAATTCGCCTTCTTTTCCCTCGGCTTCAAGCTGGGATACATCACTGATTCTCTCACCGAGCTGTGACCCAACCCCAACAAATGCCCAATCTCATGCGTCGCCACAGATTCCAAATCAACCGCCACCGCCGACTTCTCCTCCTCGAAATCAACCGCCCACGTCTCCGCCGCATCCAGGTGGAGCCTCCCAATCTCCGGCGAAAAAGAATGCGCCAACACCCCAAGCACGCCGTCGAACGGCTGCCCGTCGCCGTGATCGCCTCTATAAAACCCGATTTTAATATCAGCAAACCCATAATCCTCCGTCTCCTCGAACCTCACCGGAATCACGTGGGCCCATTTAGAAAACGCCGTACGAAATACGAATTTCACGTCTTTCAAACTCAAATTGCTGACCCAATTTTCCTTAAAAAATGCGTACGTCAGCACCATCGGCATTCGCCGCGTCCACCGTGGCTTCCCGGGAAAATATACGTAACGCGCCGTTGCATGAGGTCCATGCAACGTGTCGGACACGCGCCACCGCCGTGCAGTAGAATTTGGCCGGAAAGTCACGGCGGAGGAAGGAATAATGGATGGCAAGCAGAGGAAGAACAGAGCCAAGAGAAGGTAGCGAGAACGAGGAATTAATGGCAGAAACATGGCATATACAAACACCTTAAGAAGCGGAAGCTTAGTGTTTATATATATATATATATATATATATATATATATATATATATATATAAAATAATAATTTTTTGTTCATCTTTCTGTGGTCTTTACTTAACGATTGAATTTTGACGAATTTTTATAGTTTGGTGGAACAAACTTCTCTTTCACTTTTTCTTTTTCCATTGTATTTTATAAATTTTTAAACAATAAATATGCATTTTTCTAATTCTAAATAAAATAATATAAAAAAAACCATTATTTTCTAAATTTTAAAATAAGGAAATGGGTTTTTTTTTTTTTAATTATTATTTTATTTATAATTAGAAAAATGCATATTTATTCGTTAAAATTTTGAAGATTTATTGTTTCAGACCCCATAAGAAATTAGTTCGTAAAAATGTCGGCTTATAGATCACGATGATGTTTTTTTTTACGAACAAGAGGTAGTAAGATCAAACGTCAATTTTTAAAATTTTCGATAGTGATTATACTTTGAAATACAGAGACGTGATTGAATAAAATAATATTTTGAGAACCGAAGAAGAGAGAAATGATAAGGATGGAAGTGTGTGTTAGTGTAAGTTGAAGTGTCGGAAGCAAAGGGCGGGTGGTTGTTAGGATTTATGATGGTTGCTTCCTCTTGCATGTTCTCTTCTTTTTTCACCTCTCTACGTCAACCATGACTCAAAGTTTTATGCTTTAATGGTGCAATCATTAGTTGTTGATACAACGTTAAAACTACCCATTTTGTAAACAAATATCATGTCATGTAAAATGGGTAGCAATTAGTTTATAAGGTTACGTACATTTTCTCGTATAACATTAACAATTTATAAATTTACGTGCGTTTAACACTGAGTTAGAGTGCCCTGAAACATTAGAAATCATTTGAGAAATGCATTGGATGGGGTTGAGAACTGACTGCGATTACCCGCCCTATATGAAGTGTGTGATCCTACCTGATAAAAGCTTTGAGAATTTGGAGCACTTAGCAAGCGGAAAACCAAGCTCAAGAAAGACACGTAAGTAAGTAGCTCATGCAAGCATAACCTGCCTTAGGTGGTTGGAATGGCAGCTTGGACGAGAAAGCAATGTACGGTTGGAAAAAATTATTGAAATTCCTTTAGGATGAGAAAGCATTTGTAAATAACTTTGAACAACACCAATTAGAAGTTCGATTTCATTTTTGTCTTTGTTACGTTGTTTGCAAAGTTTTAGTGTTTTTTTAATTATTTATTTTATTAACTATCATCTTCCCTTTTCACGACCATCTAAAATTTAAAGCCTAAAAAATCGGGTCGTGACAATAGCACAATGCACCCGATATTATTCTCGACCGTTCATGTATTGAAAGACCGTCTCAATTGCTTCCCGTTTAACCTTAGTTGCAATTGGATATACGGGTATTCCTTTGTCTTTTGACCATGCATTCCAGTAATACAAGTTCTTCTGAATTTTTTGGGCACCATTAATCTCAAGCAAGTTGGATAAACTAACCGGGTATTCAGTAGATAATTTTCAGTTCATAATTGTAGTACCTCCATTCCCTTAGAGAGATAGTGGATGATGAAAGTCGTTGAATGTAACTTTCGTCAATTACGCCATCGTTATTCTCTGGATCACCATAGAGCTCATAATTGTATCAATGGCTCGGATGTGATATTCAACACAGTGATCAAGCTTCGAAACATTAATCTCGAGGTCATCAAAATGACCTGCAGATTGCTTTTAGCTAATCGAAGTAGCCTCTGATATTTTATTAGCTTTGTTATTCAGTTCCTTCTTCTCTCGACTCTCTAGTTTGTTCTTCTCTTTCTTACCGCCCATGTCAATTGAGACTTTTGAAAGATGATAATGGTCTTTCATTAGTATCTTATACAAGCAGTTTTTCAACCCTTTTACCCTTATCAACATGGCTCTATTTCTATAAAAAATCTTGAGGAATGAACTTATTAACTCTACTTTGCTGTCTTCCTATGTCATTTGACCAAAGTTGATAATATTACTTTTCAAGCTTGAGATTTAACATACTTGAGCTAGTAGACGTCGATAGTCATTTTTGCCTTGGAACAAGAGGGATCCTTTACCTTGGATCGGTACAATGATCCGTTGCAAAACCTCTCATTTCAATAACCTTCTCATCAAGCTTCTTAAACTTTGCATGGATCATGTGATTGCTTGCTCCAATATTTAAAAAACTAATATACCCCATCCAAGAATGACCAAGAATAAATGGAACAAAAATTCATGATCCACCATATGTGTGACGACCCAGATCCACCGTTAGCAGATATTGTCTTTTTTGTGCTTTCCTTTTCGGCTTCCCCTCAAAGCTTTAAAACGCGTCTAATAGGGAAAGATTTCCACACCCTTCTAAATGGTAGTTTGTTCAACTCTCCAACCAACGTGGGACATCACAATATGTGACGCTTTTGATTTCTACAAAATCGAGTCTACCAACACTACAGGGATTTGTATAGACATCAATATCTTCCGTGTTCCATATGCCCAATGTCGATCGATAAACAAATCATATTGCAATTCAAAGAATAATTTTTGAATGAACATGAAATGGATTAGTTTGAATGGTTGGGTTAAAGTTGTCCTTGGATTGCAAGGGAAGTGAAGTGAAATGTTGGTTGGAATTGGAAGGTAAAGAGAGGAGAGAGAAGCAAATAATTGAGAGAAGAGAGAGAGAGAGAGGCAAAGGGCCCCATGTTGACTCAGCTTGATGGAACATCTTCATTTTCCCCCTTTTTTTTTAATTTTTTTTAAATTCATTTTATTATTATTATTTTTTTAAAGATTATATAAATATCTCTCATTTGTTTCATTAAAAGAAACAGTATAATCTGAGTACGTTTGCAGTTTTATATTCTTTTTGGGTAAAATTATAAAATAATAATAATAATAATAATAATTTTAGAGATGATGTACACGTGTCAAACACCCACTTGACTTGCAATCCCAAATGCAAAATTACGATTCTCTCCTTTACAGCAACAACCTTTCACATTTGTTATCCAAAATCAGATGGGAGAGATCTTTGGACGTGTACTCCCAAGATATACTTGTCTTTCCATGTGTTTTCCGCCGTACACGTGGCAGAATCCTATCAGACCATGTCTCTTCTTTGGGCCCCAAAGATCTCCCCCCTTTCCCTTTCTTCTTTACTCCTAAATTAAATTAAAATTAAAATTTAGTTTTTTTACTTATATATTTGTGTTTTGTAAATTAGTAAAAATACTGTTTAACATCATAATTTATTTTTAAAAATATCCTTGAATTTTTAAAATTTCAATTAAAATAAAATACTCTGCCTAGGTAATTCTTTAAAAAATACCCTTAAATACTCTTAAATCTTTAATGGTCTTTCAAAAATAAACTTAAACTTTAAAAAGTTACATGGATACCTTTTTTTTTTTACACAAATCAAAAAATAAATTTACCTTATATTTAAAAAATACCCACAAACTTTTAAAAGTAACCTTTACACCATTTACCTTTATAAAAAAAAGTTTAAAAAAATTATTACAGTACCGAAAACTATTAAGATATGATATTTGGAGAGAATATATTTTAATAATTAATTATGGAGTATATCTTAAGATATCGTATTCAGTTAATATTTTTTCTTTATTTGTAGTATATTTTATCTATTTAGTAATGTTGTAAACATAGAAGATCATATTTCGATCCCAATTTTTTTTTATTTCTATTGCTCATTCTTAATAATAACCTATCAGATTATCTAAAAAGGTTTTAATGTTATTTTAAAAAATACATGAATATTATTTAAACATGATGGTAATAGTAAAGATATTTTTGAGTCAAATTTAAAAGTGTTTTGAAGTTTTTTTAAAATTAAAGGTGTTTAAGGTGCTTTTGAAATTTGATTTAGTATTTAATTTAAAAAGGATGGGGTAGAATTGAATTAGGTTAGATAGTTTAAGTATAAATTCTAATTATTTTTAAAAATACTCGAACAATTTTTTGAAGTCAATAAAAATAAAAATACAATATTTTAAAAAATAATCTCATAAATACATATATAGTAGGAGTTGTCACAATCACAATCTCTGCTGTGTTTAGGAGATCTTGATATGGACCCCACCTTCTACACGTGTATGGCCCACCCCCTTCCCTATCCATTCTTCACAATCACAAATTTTTTTTAATCCTTTTTAATAATTAAATTAAAAAATTTCACTTATTTAAAATTTAATTCAAGTATTTTTAGCCCTCTGTTTCCCTCTGTCTCTGTCTCGGTTTTCTTCGACACCAACCTCTTCTTTACTTGTTTTGGTATAAATTCCCCCAACCCCTTATGCCTATTTCTTCGCCCACCATTTCTAACCTCTCTTCTTCCTTTCCTTCTTTTGCTGCAGTTCTTGCAGTTCTTGAGATGGAGATTTGTGGCAATTTGATTGGACAGTCCAATGCTGGAAGAGACCAAGCTGCCAACCCCACTACCGTTTGGGAGCACCTCAATTCCTCTCGCTTCCACTTGGATTGGGTCACTGCCAACTCCACCCACGGCGACGCTCACCAACACCACCAGTGTCTCTTCGCTGGAGATCACCATCAGGGCGGCCATTTCCACCGGGACCCACATCTCATGTGCTTGAAGCTCGGCAAGAGGCACTACTTTGAGGACGCCACTGCGGCGTCCGTCGTGGGGAAGAGAGGGAAGCCGTTGTACAGTACAGTTCCGACTAGTGTTCCTCGGTGTCAAGTGGAAGGGTGTCATGTGGCGCTGGTGAATGCTAAGGACTACCACCGTAGGCATAGGGTCTGCGAGATGCACTCCAAGGCTCCCAAAGTTGTGGTTGTTGGCTTAGAACAGAGGTTCTGCCAGCAGTGTAGCAGGTGCTGCGGAATTTCAAAGAATAATTTCCACATTAATTTCATTTGAACACAATTAATAACAATAACAAGAACAACAACAATTGGGTTTCAGGTTTCATGTGATTTCTGAGTTTGATGATTCAAAGAGGAGCTGTAGGAGGAGATTAGCAGGGCACAATGAGAGACGAAGAAAGAGTTCTCAGGAATCTGTAGCAGCAAGGAACTGGTTCGGAGGTACCCAATTCCCTAATTTTTCATTTCAATTCATATCAATCAACAATCAAAAATGTGTTCTGAATCATTGTTTTGATCAGTTACTGATGGAAGTACAAGAACAGACAGAAAAAAGAGTATGGAATTTGAACTTTTTGTTTTTTTCTACAATAAAGCATGCTCATGAACAGTCATGAATATAGCAATTCAACTTTAAGAACCACACTTAACCCATCGCTTTACAGAACAGTTCTTATCCCCAATTCCTAATTATTATCTTTTGTTCTTATCCCCAACTTTAAGTAGAAAGCCGATTTTTCAGTTCCCTTGTTCAACATCGAAGTCTGAAAATCAGAAAAGAACTGCTCTTAATATTTCCAGAATTGATTTTATGAACTTCAATTAAAAGCTGTGATTAAAATGATTTTTAGTTTCCTTGTTATTAATTATTTCGAAGCTAGGGTTCTCTATTTGAAGTAAAATTCAGAATGACGACAGTTTGTTATTCAATTGACTATAACAGAAATTGAATCAATTTTGCCCTAAAAATTGGGGGAAATTGCAGAAAACAAGTCGAGGACAGGTAAGATTGCATACATACCATCGCCGACGGGACGTGCTCTCTCTCTTCTGTCATCGAAGAACGAATCGTGGGCGACCTCATCGGAGCTATCGCTGAGGTCGAGCGCAGCGCTCCGAGAACTGATAGCGGAGAATCGCGCGGCCATTCTGGCTCGGCAGCTGAATCTGGAGAGAGATTGGCACTCAAACCACACAAGGACGGCGGATGATTTCGGAAGCGGAGGCGTTGGATTGGAACAGAGTTGGGAGAAGATGCATGACGGAAATGGCGGTGCGCAGGTTACGCTGGACCTGATGATGCAGGCGCCGAGGACGGCGTTTGGGGTGCTGTCTGTGAGTGGGAAATCGAAGGAAGAAGATGAAGAATGTGGCGAGTTATGGAATTCCTTTCACTATCACGACTCCAATGTTGTTTAAAACTATAAACTTTTGAATCCTTTTATTATAAAATAAAAATTATATTAATTGATTAACTAATTATTTGGTTAATTACGACTCTAATATGAAACAGCAGATAATTATTATCACTCTGAACTGTTATTCCAACCAAGTTTATAATTTTGCTGAATCTAAATTATAAGTGATAATCTCATCGGCATAAGCTTAAGTAAATAATAAAATATAGGTTAATTTAATAAAAATATCATTTTGTTTAAAGGTGTATTTCTAAAATTTCAAAACTTTCCATAATACCTTTAAATTTAAAAAGAAAAAACTCTTAAAAACACCTCTTCTCCTTCTTCTTTTTTTACCTAAAAAAAAATCAAAAAGTAAAATAATAATATATATAAATAAATTATGGGAGTAATTGGTTAATATTTTGTTTCCAAAAATGCGTTTCAATGGTTTAAAAAAAACCTTTCAGCATTCAAACTTTTAAACTTTTTTAAAAAAACTTTCTTTAATATTCTTTAGCACTGAAATAAGAGTTAAAACATTTGGGCGAGGTTTGAAACAATATCACAAATCATAATCAAGAGAGCATTTTTCACAGCATTGTTTTTACAACTCCAGGAAACAAATTCTGTTTTAGAAGCAACATCGTTATAACCCGTGTAAATAAAGACAAATGTCTTGTTCCAATAGGATGAGGTGTTAGGAATCATGATATTGTCCATTTTGAACATAATCTCTAGCGGCTTTACTTTTGGTTTCTCCAAAAGGCCTCACACCAATACCAATGGAGATGTATTCCTTAGTTATAAACTCATGATCTTCCTCTTAATTATTTATTTTCAATAATCCTCAACTTACGCAGAATAATTTAGAGAGTACATATATGCCAATCAGATAAGTCCAGAATCCCATCAATCTCGGAGATATGATCTATGATAATGCTACCCAGCATGCACAAGTAAATGAATAATCAAAATAGTAACAAGTGAAAGATGATGTACTTGGGATGTTTTCAACGCTTCCATGAGAATCAGCCCTCCATCCAAGCCACAGCAACAAGGATCCTGGATGAACGCAATATCCATCTCCTTATTCATATTGGAGTATGAATGGCAAAATAGATAGGCAAAATCATTTGGGTTTGTCCGTCAATGTCACTAAAGCCTTGAGCACCCCGGGACTGATCTTGTCAGAGAGGACCCCTTTTTCTGAGATCAGAAGGGACTGATCTTTTACAAAACTTTGCAATTTCTTTGCCTCAAAATCAAGTTTCGACTGATCTGCCATGTGAAAACAATAATGTGTCTGTCAAAATAGAGTGAAAGCTCTACAAAGTACAAGTGAGTGAATGTTTCCAGTGGCAAATTATAGACGGACTACAAACTGTAGGATGATGAAAGTCCCACATCGGCTAATTTGGGAAATGATCATGAGTTTATAATAAAAAAAATACTCTCTCCATTGGTACGAGGCCTTTTGGGGAAGCCCAAAGCAAAGCCATGAAAGCTATGCTCAAAGTGGACAATATCATACTATTGTGGAGATCTGTGATTCCTAACATGGTATCAGAGTCATGCCCTAAGCTTAGTCGTGCCAATAGATTGGTAAATCCTCAAATGTCGATGTGATTCCTAACATGGTATCAGAGTCATGCCCTAAGCTTAGTCGTGCCAATAGATTGGTAAATCCTCAAATGTCGAACAAAGGACTACAAAAGAAAAGGAGTCAAGCCTCCTCGAAGGCATAGTAAAAAATGACTAAGACTCCAAAGGAGTCGAGACTCGATTAAGGGGAGACGTACTTTGTTCGAGGGGAGGCGTGGGATGATGAAAATCCCACAACGGCTAATTTAGGGAATGATCATGGGTTTATAATAAAAAAATATTCTCTCCATTGGTATAAGGCCTTTTGGGGAAGCCCAAAGTAAAGCCATGAGAGCTATGCTCAAAGTGGACAATATTTTACCATTGTGAAGAGTCGTGTTCTTCTAACACGAAGAACACACACCACCCCGGTCCCCCTGCTGTCCCATCCAACTTAAGAGAAACCTTTTGGATTATTCAACGTGAAACTCTGAGGATTTAATTATAGCCATTACAGGGAGCAGAATGAACATGGAACTGCAACCATTTTAATTTAGTCTAATGGATTATTTCCTAAAGAGAGCCATGCACCAATAAACACATACATAACATTAACAGCATGAAATAAAATGTCCCAGTAATAACCTGTCTCCAAGATTGAATGAGCTGCATGAAATGGAACCCTGGCGAACACATCGGTTCCTGGGAACATCATCCAGGTGCGCTCATTAGAGTCATGGTTCCCGCAGGTAGTGCAAATCTCCTTCACCAATGGCCTTGTTTCAGAACCTCCCATATCCTTCATAATTGACTCAAAAGGTGATGGGACACTGGATTTTGTTGTCCGTGCTCGCCTCCTCAAAGCAGTCAACGCTTCTCTATTCCCATTTCTCACTCTATCATTTTCAACCAACTGACATTATAATCCCAAACAACAGTAGTCACTTCACCTTTTTGCTTCTCAAAGTTATAGAACAATTTCATTTCAACGATAGACAAGTTGTGACATTCAATTTCAATGAACGTCACAAAGAATGTACATAGGAGGAGGAAATACAAGTCATCTCGTAAGCTAAGTTGCTAATTTTCCAATGTTTTTACACTTACCTCATTGCGGGCTATAAGGAGACGTTCTGCTTCCGCTTCTAGCTCAATTAAGCTCTGTTGAAATTGTATCATTGTCTCGTTCATTTTATTCCCACCTATAATTCACAAGTGAGGTCGTCAATAACATCCAAACAGGTAGCATATAGAGAGAATGACTCCCAAAATGAATATGAAAAGTGCAATTTTTTTTTTTTTTTATGAAGAAGAGAGCTTCATTGAGAAAAAAATGAAAGAATACACGAGCATTCAAAAGGAACCCCAGTAAAGAAAGGGGTTCCAATCAAATACAATGAGGCCTCAAGAATAATATACAAACAACCATGTCATCAACGCCCAAAGAGAATCATAGAACCTAGCAAGGGACTATATATAACTAGGAGACCTCCTCACACCCCACAAACCCCATGAAACAGCGCAAACCCCTTGCCTGCTACAAGAACTTCCCAATCTTTTGAGAGGGCAGATAACGAGCAAATTTGCCACTCCAAATAATGTGTCTAGCAAACTACAAGCTAAACACCTCAAAAGAGGAATTCCAAATTGTCCGAGCAAATTTGCCACTCCAAATAATGTGGTCAAAGGTCTTCCTCCACCTACTAACAAAGAACGCAACAAATCGATCCGAACAAAGTACACATCTTTCCTATAAAAATGTAAGTTGTGACTGAGAGAGAGAGATTGTCAAGTTCACACAGACAAACAAGAATCACCAGCTTCACTACTGACAACTTGTGCCATTAGCAATGCTCTTCTTCATCGCTCTCTCACCCAATTCCTAAAACCAATCAAAATTGGAATGAACGAAAAAAAAAATGTAATACTCAAGGAAAAGCGTTTCGTCTCTTCAATGATATCCGTAGACTTTGCTCGGCGTTGCACTTGCCAGCATCAAGCAGAATACTTCTTCCCGCTAATATTCTCTAACTAAGATTGGGAAACAAGGATTGTTCTGTTTCTGTTCAATTCATATTGATTTGAATTGGATGGACGTTGTGTTTGAGGAGATGAAGGCCTAGAGAGAGAATTCTGGAACTTGAAAAATTCTAACTGTACCTTCTAGTATTATTCTTTCTTTGGTTAGACAAGTCCTAATTTTAGTTTTTCAAGTCAGAACAAACGATATAGATGGAGATTGAGAGAATACCAGAAGCAACAATGAACCACTGCAGGCCGCTAAGACGGACACGCGACGGCGACACTACGCTGCTGAATGGGAGGAGTAGCCGGCGTGAAGAGGAAGAAGAAGAAGAAAGGACTTAGGGCTTTCTCTTTCTTTGGTTTGTTATTTCACAGAGCGGGCTGAAACTGTGTCGTTTTGTATCCATGTCTAATTTTTATTACCTCCTAATAATATGCTATAAGAGAGACTCTTTAATAGATTGTATCTATTCTTCAATCTCGACGCATCGATCACACGTGGACATGCCCAATTATTTAGTGGTGGACGTGTTTATTGATTTTATTGGTAATAGCTGTCGTATTTGTACCATTTGAAACGATACGAAATGATTGTGCGACACTTGCTCTTGACTTTAAGTAAGTTAGCCAACTCAAATTTGAATCACCAGTAGCTAATATCGACCACGTTTGAAGTAGTAGCTGATGTTGGCTAGTGATGGTTCACAGGAGTGATGATCGATAGTCGACCATCGCACTGCCTATGGCTAAGTGACCGTAGTTGCTAGTAGTAAGTGATGGACAGCAACGACCCAAGGAGAAATATTTGGGTCATTTTTAAGTAATGTGAAAATTTTGAAAAGATTTGAAAGAAGCGGTGGGTGTGAATAGTCGATCGTCGTTCAAACTCGTTTTAGCGTACGACGCATGAGGGGTGATTTGGTTGTTTGGGTCTATAGGCTTGATGCTCGAGCATCAAACTATAGGCGTCATCAAAACATAAGGCTGCCCCAAGGATGAGCTAGAGGCATCACACACTCATCGAGATTCATGCCAGACGCCTTAAGGCACCCAGCTTCACCCTGCCTTGCATGTTTCGTCGTGGGGACATGGCAGCTGACGACAACGTTAGGGAGTCGAGAGGCATCGGTGGGGCCTCGAAAAAAGTAATTTTTGAGTAATCAATATCAAATCCCTTCCCATCTTATTAAAATGAAAAAAATGAAAAAAATGAAAAAAATAAAATAAAAAATAAACATGGAAATTTGCGAAGCTCATCGGCAGGTTATTCCATAATTTGACCTCGTAGATGCTCCTTAAGCTCTACTACATGCGAGCAAGAGCATAGGCTATATTCCAATGGCCGTCATTTCCAGTTTTAAGGACGGGGCGGCGGTTGTTTTCAGAAGGCAGTCGTCAAACATGCATCGGCGTCTTCCGTTTCTCAGGTGATCTTTCGGAAATCTTTCATTTTCATTCATCGGAGTTCTGAATTTGCATTCTATTTTATACTGATTCTGCAAACCAGGTGCTATTCTTCTCGACTAACCGAGGCCGAAACCAAATCATCGAACAGAACCAAAAAGGCGAGAGACATGGCACGGATGATCAACTCTAAACCTTGGTCGAATGACCTTGAGTCATCTCTGGCTTCATTCTCACCCTCCCTCTCTAAAACCACCGTTCTTCAAACTCTAGGTTTCCTCAGAGACCCATCTAAAGCCCTAAAATTCTTCAACTGGGCACAAGAAATGGGTCACGCTCACACTGACCAATCCTACTTCTCGATTTTAGAAATTTTGGGTCGCAATCGGCATCTTAATGCGGCTAGGAATTTCCTGTTTTCGATCGAAAAACGCTCTCGTGGAGCAGTCAAACTCGAAGCCCGATTCTTCAATAGCTTAATGAGGAACTTTAGTCGAGCTGGACTCTTTCAAGAATCTATAAACCTTTTTACGACGATGAAATCACATGGGGTTTCCCCATCGATTGTTACATTCAATAGTCTTTTGACCATTTTGCTTAAAAGGGGCAGGACTAATATGGCGAAGAACGTGTATGATGAAATGCTTAGTACTTATGGAGTGACTCCTGATACATTTACATTCAACATTTTGATTAGAGGATTTTGTATGAATGGCATGGTTGATGAAGGTTTTAGAATTTTCAAGGACTTGTCTCGCTTTGGTTGCGAACCGGATGTTATCACATATAACACACTTGTTGATGGGTTGTGCAGGGGAGGTAAGGTTACCATTGCATATAATGTGGTAAAGGCAATGGGGAAGAAAAGCGTGGATCTGAATCCCAATGTTGTTACATACACAACTTTGATTAGAGGTTACTGTGCGAAGCGAGAGATTAACAATGCCTTAGCTGTTTTCGAAGAAATGGTCAATCTAGGCTTGAAAGCAAACAACATAACCTACAATACTTTAATTAAGGGGCTTTGTGAAGCCGAGAAATTCGAGAAAGTAAAGGAGATATTGGAGGCAACAGCAGTAGATGGAACGTTTTCTCCTGATACATGCACATTCAACACTTTGATGCATTGCCATTGTGATGCAGGAAACTTGGATGAAGCCTTGAGAGTGTTCGAGAGGATGACGAAGTTAAAGATTCGACCAGATTCGGCTACATATAGTGTATTGATTAGAAGTTTGTGTGAAGGGAAGTATTATGAGAAGGCTGAGAACTTGTTAGATAAACTATTAGAGAAAAGAATCTTGTTAAGTGATGATGGTTGTAAGCCTCTTGTCGCTGCGTATAACCCCATTTTCAAGTATTTATGTGAAAATGGAAAGGCTAAGAAAGCTGAAACAGTGTTTAGGCAGCTAATGAGAAGAGGAACACAAGACCCTCCATCTTACAAGACGTTGATCATGGGGCATTGTAACGAAGGTACATTCGAATCTGGGTATGAGCTACTAGTCTTGATGTTGAGGAAAGATTTTTTACCAGATATGGAGGTATATGAAGCTTTGATTAATGGGTTTTTGCACAAGGATAAGCCACTTCTTGCCCTTCAGACACTCGAAAAGATGCTGAGGAGCTCCCATCTTCCTGAATCATCTACTTTTCATTCTATACTTGAAAAACTCTTAGAACAAGGAAATGCATCTGAATCTGCTAGTCTTATACAGTTAATGTTAGACAAGAATATTAGACAAAATCTCGGTTTTTCAACTGGCTGCATAAGACTACTTTTTGAAGCTGGAATCAACGACAAAGCGTTCCAAATTGTTCGTATGCTTTATGGAAATGGCTATTCGGTTAAAATGGAAGAACTAATTCTTTTTCTTTGCCACTGCAAAAAGTATATAGAGGCATCTAAAATGTTGCTATTTAGTTTAGAAAGTCATCAAGCTGTCGACATCGATGTTTGTAGTGCGGTAATTTTTCACCTTTGTCAAATTAATAAGTTGTCTGAAGCATTTGGTCTGTACTATAAGCTGGTGGAGATGGGAGTCCACCAACAGCTAAGTTGTCTAAACCAGCTGAAAGCTTCTCTCGAGGCTGGGGGAAAATTCGAAGAGGTCGAGTTCGTATCAAAAAGGATGGAACCACAACTGAAATACAAAAGTTAGAAGCCAAGAGGGAAATGGTAAGATTCCACTGTACACTGTTTTTTCTGTATAGCTCGATTGTCTTCGGTCTTCTTGCAAACTTGCTTTGTTACTTTTGATAATGCTATTGGTTAAATCATCAGCCAATGAGGCCGAGGGGACTATGATTTTTCTCAAGCAGCTCGCTGAAGTTATTTGGAGTTGGGATATACCAAATGGGACTTGGTTCTTTCTCAGGAATTTGGTGATCGGTGGCATTAACACGGTAGACACGCTTTTCCTTTTCCAAGCGGATTTTCCCGATTGTTTACTTAATTTTCTCTCCTATGCTGCCATTATTACTATCTAAATGATATACACATACTTCCCTTTTCAGGTGAATTGGAAGTAATTTGTTGCTGGTGTAGGCTGATTAGTTTGCGCGCGGCCTCGGATTCAAAACAAGATTATGATCTACACTGGGTGTGAAAACTTCAAGATGGCTTGGTCCAGGATCCAACCTGGAATTTTCTGTCAGGAAAGCTGTATAACCTGAGCAACCTTACTTTCTTTAACAATGAAAAAGATGGCTTAAACTATCGTAAAATTTTGCAACGTTTCGTGATAAAAAAATACGGGGAGAGAAGTTAGTAAGAAAAAACACCGACGTTCTTGGGCATGTGTTGTGGGGGTTCTGTGTCATGCTTGTTGGGTGTTGATAGTAAGTTGGGATTTGGTTTTATGGTTTATGAAAAATGGGGAAAAGAGTGTTTTAAGTGATCACCAACTTCTCTCCAAGAAAAGTAGCTAATGGCCCATTTAAATTCTTCAAACTCTGTGATAGGTTTCATTCAGGTATTTACTGACAAAGGCTACAAACATATCTCATTTAAGCTCCCAAATATGTCAAAGATGAGTTGTGAAGGCCCGGCTAAGCTCGATCATGCTCGGGCAAGGCGTGTTCCAACGCCTGGGAAGGCAACAATCCTTGCAATAGGCAAAGCATTTCCTAGCCAACTCGTTCCTCAAGAATGCTTGGTTGAGGGCTACATTCGTGATACGAAATGTGTAGACGCAACTATAAAAGAAAAACTGGAGCGTTTATGTAAACAAAAACTTCGTTACCTTGAATATATTGATATATTCTTTGTTACTTTGTAGCAGCATTATGAGATTGAAGCAACTTTCTGTTTATTTTCATTTCAGGTAAAACTACCACTGTGAAGACAAGATACACTGTCATGTGTAAGGAAATCTTGGATAAGTATCCTGAGCTTGTCACTGAGGGCTCAGCAACAATCAGACAGAGGTTGGAAATTGCTAACCCTGCAGTTGTTGAGATGGCCACTGAAGCTAGCAAAGCTTGTATCAAAGAATGGGGGAGGTCTGTTGAAGATATCACCCACATTGTCTATGTTTCTTCTAGCGAAATCCGCTTACCTGGTGGGGATCTTTACATTGCAAATCGCCTCGGTTTGAAGAACGATGTCGGTCGAGTGATGCTATATTTTCTAGGCTGTTACGGCGGTGTCACTGGACTCCGAGTTGCCAAAGACATAGCAGAAAACAACCCAGGAAGCCGCATTCTATTAACAACTTCCGAAACTACGATACTTGGATTTCGTCCCCCGAACAACGAACGCCCATACGACCTAGTTGGAGCTGCACTCTTCGGCGACGGAGCTGCAGGCGTGATCATCGGAGCAGACCCCGTATTGGGGCAAGAATCTCCTTTCATGGAGCTGAACTATGCGATCCAGCAATTCCTGCCAGACACCCACAATGTGATTGATGGAAGGCTCTCTGAAAAGGGTATAAATTTCATACTTGGAAGAGATCTTCCACAGAGAATAGATGAGAACATAGAAGAGTTCTGTAGAAAGCTGATGGGAAAGGGGAAGCTGGTGGAGTTTAATGAGTTGTTCTGGGCAGTTCATCCGGGTGGGCCGGCGATTCTGAATAAGCTAGAGAGCACTCTGAGGCTGAAAAGTGATAAGCTTGAATGCAGCAGGAAGGCGTTGATGGACTATGGGAATGTTAGCAGCAACACTATCTTCTATGTCATTGAGAAGATGAGGGAAAAGCTGAAGAGAGAAGACGGGGAAGAATGGGGACTGGCTTTGGCGTTTGGACCTGGCATTACTTTTGAAGGCATTCTCATTCGTAGCCTCTGATTTCTCTCTACCTCTGCCATATGCAGCAAACAAAATGTGGTTCTTTACTTACTATTATGCTTTGGATTAAAATATGGTTGGATTGTGAATCAAAATAAGTGCTAATTGTGACTCTATTCCGTAGATTCGGTTCGAAAAAATGTTGGTTCGGTATGTCATAAGTGAGTCAATTTAGAGCTTCGGTTTCAAATACGCCTACCATTATCAAACTCGAGGTTTTAAGTTTTTGTAACAACTTTACACGGGTATAGATATTGGTTTATTTAGAGACCTACAAATGCGTTTAAAACAATCTAAATTGATACCATTATAACGAACTAATTAAAATGCAAGAAAATATTTTAAGGGCGTTCGGGTCATTGAGTTGAGTGAGACCTAACTCTATGTTTAGCCCATCCGCTTAGTGGAGTTCAAAAGTACTACTCTACTAATTTCATAAGTGTTCGTTCTTTTAAGTTTGCACGTTTTTCGAGGACTCTCAAATCTCATATACTTCGACCCCTAAAAAAACTTCTATTTTTTCCTCTATCAATTGACACCGACATTTTATGAATATTTTCATCAATACATCGACACCTCAATCGTTAATGTTAAATAATTTACTTCGAAATTCTAGAAAATCTTGCAAAATATGTGTAGAATTTTTTTTTTACGAGAAAAACATAATGCTAAAATTTACAAAAATTGGTAAAAAAATGCTAAAATTTAGAATAAAAAATTTTATTCAACAATCTTTTCCATTGAATATTAAACGTTGTTAAAACAATTAATATTCTTATCTATAAAAACTTTATTATTAAATTTTGAAAATTTAATATCTAACATAGTTTTAATAATTGTATAGTATCGACAACAAAGCAATCTTTAGAGTATCACAGGCCTCTCCAAGCCATTTACTTTCCTCTACGTAAATCACTACCCTCACGGCAGCCTACAATCCTCAATCTTGATCCTTCCCCACTTTCTGGTTTCCGTTGCGTAATAATCCTCTTAGTTCGTCAGCCGAAATCAAGCGGTTAATTGACGAAAGCGCACTTTTCTAGGATGAGGGAAGGCGGGGATACGAGAAGAGGGGAAACAGGCAATCCATCTGTGGTTAGTTATTGATTATTTGAATTGTTCTTGTTTCCTCCTTGCTGCAATTTGCGTCATCTTTATGGAATTTTCTTAGACGAGAAGTTGAGGATTTTTTTTTGTATTCGTAGATATCATCAACTGCTTGAGACTGTAGAGTTTATGCGGAACATTTCGGAGGAGTTTATTGTATTTAGTAGTTGAGTGTTTGTAGATTTAGAAATGTTTAGAGTGTTCGTGTTTCTAAATTGAAGTATTTGAAGCTTCGAATTGAAGAACCAGACAAAGGTAGGGCATGTTTCATTCACTGGAATACTAAATTTTGTGACAAAAAATGATACAAATGAAGGGCAGATAATGAAGATAACTATTAAGGGAAAGGAAATTGGGATTTCCATTGATGGATGAATCAGTTCTTGGAACCAATCTGCAAAGTGTTCATCAAAATGAACTTTAATCATATTTATGAAACATCATAGGCGGTTTAAATAATGTATAATTGCCTTTAAGAACTCGAATACAAATCCCAAATGATTTCTGTCATGTTTTTTATTCCTTTGTCAAGTCTGAAGTTGCTTCTACGTGTTGGATTATGTATTTAAACATGATGAAACGCTCATCCTCTTGGTGAACTCCTTGGCTGATGGATAGGATATGGTCCTTTGTTGTGTTACTAACTTTATGGTGATTGATGTATTATTCGCTGTGACTCTGAACAATTCCTCTTTCTCAGACAGAGAAGGATGGGTTAACTGAGGGCCTTATTCCTAAACTATTTAATTCTGTACCGGTTCTGAACGACGCTGCTTCATACGTGGCACAGACAACTTCATACTTCACTAGGTTTTTGTCTGATCGTTCTGGTATTTAACTTCCCTCTTCTTTTGTATTTCTCAAACTTTTGCCGCCCTTGAATTTACCTGCTTGTGCACATTTCTTCTATGTTAAATGATTTCTTCGGTTTGAAACTTTTACCAACTTTTCAGATTTTGTTTATTTGATTGTTGATTTATTGACTTTTAGAGCCTTCTACAACTTGTTTGTACATTTGTGTGTGTGTTTATATAAAAATTCATTCTCCATTTCCTGGTAAATCCTATTCTGTGTGTGTTTACTTCTATGGTTCTTTTTATAGTTTCTTTTGTACATTACTTTTTTAGTATGAGTTACATGCCTGATTCTAAGTGCCAATGATTTTATGTCTTACTCTTTTTAATGACCACTCGTTTTACATTTCCATCTATTCTTGCTACCTAGACCTGTCTATTCTTCTTATTATTTTTCTTGTGTATATTACTAATTTGGTGATAGTTCTATGGTGATTTGGTCTCAGTTGATCCTAAATCAAGAGAACCCCGGAGTTCTGCTTTACACGAAGAGGAATTAGTGACGTTTCCTTCTGAAGAACCTGTAGCTACGCCAGCCACAACCAGTGGAGATCAAAACTCGAGCGCTGCACAATCAATAGTTTCTGAATCACCCGAAGCTGCAATCGTAGCTCCTGCTGTACATACCGAAGTTTCAAGGACCACGGTTGAAGATTCATCTGGCCACAGTAGTGGTCTCCAATTGTCGAATAATACTGGTGGGAAAGGCATGTCAATTTTCCAAGGGTACTGTTTCTGAATTATAAGTTTGGGCTAATTTATGTTTAGTTTGATACATATAACTTAATTTCTTTTTTGTTTATTTCATTTGTAATGCTCGTTCTCATTCAGCCTTATCGATCGGGCTCTGAGGACAGTACGTGGATCTGCAGATGATATCGGTTGGCTTCAAAGGGCATCTGGAATGCCCCCGGTTGAAGATGGAACTGATAGGTTTGTGGAAATTTTGGAAGACATCAGGTACTGTGAGTGATAGCTGCCGCTGCTTTTCTACTAGTTATCCGGCATAGACTTAATTTTGTCTCCCTTTTCTTTCTATCAGGCATGGTATTCACAAATTACCTGATTCAGTGGTTTATTTGCTGGTTCCAGGTAATTTTTGGTTAACCTAATTTTATTAGTTGATAATTGACAGTAGCACGTGAATTTGACATCTGTCAATCATTTGGCCAAGCTAAATGCCATTGCCCAAGGGCAGTATTGCAGACTTTGAAGTCATTTCTTAAGTGATCGAATCCTAGGTTTGGAAACATAAAATCCGAGTTTGTTCAAGTGGTTGAACTAAAAGTGAGAGGATTGAATCTTCAATATTTTAGGTTTTGGAACAAAATTTAAATTATAGAAGTGTCAAAATGGAATTGTGATTGGATATGCCGAAACCCCCCGTCACTAAAGTAAACAACGTAAAAAAAAGTACCAATTTCCTTCTCACTTGAGCTCAAGCATTTACTCGTCTTGGGCTAGCGTGGGATCTGCTCAAGGACCTACCTACCGGTTTAGGTAATATCTAATGGGCTCCCAGATATAGCTTTAAGCCCTATATTTCTTTGTTATTGAATTTTAACAAGCAGTAAGGGAACATCTTTTTAATTTTTTTTTATTTTCGATGCTCTCGTTGCTTGCTCGAAAACGTACTTACCTGGTTGGGCGGCTGTAATTCATGTAACTGGTAGGACTTTTCAGCAACCATGGACCACTGTATTTTGTTGATACAAAAACGAGATTCTCAAAGATGGGTCTGGCCTGTCATATTGCCAAGATTCATAGCGAGGTAGTTTTGTTTGGTTTTAAGTTCTACCTTTATGTAATTTCTCTCCCATCTTGTTAAACAATGAAAGAACTATAATCAGGCTTCAGTGGAGAAAAATGCAAGAGAGATCAAAGAGTATGTTGAAGAAATATATTGGGGTGCTGGAAAACGTGTATTGATTCTTGGGCACAGCAAAGGGGGAGTAGATGCTGCAGCTGCCTTATCGTTGTATTGGTCTGATTTGAGAGAAAAAGTGGCTGGCTTGGCATTAGCTCAAAGTCCATATGGCGGTACTCCAATAGCATCTGATATCTTGCGTGAAGGACAGCTTGGTGACTATGTGAACGTACGGAAGCTTATGGAGATTTTGATCTGTAAAGTGATCAAGGTATGCATATGCAGATTGTTTTTCGTGATTATTCTATCAGGAACTTGCAAAAATGGACTCCCTCTTTATAGACTTAATTCTTAAACTTATTGTGAATTAAAGTCACAGCTTACCTAACAAGTATTTTTGTTTAAAAAGAAGAATAAGTAAAGAAAAGAAAAGCAAAGAGCCAAACAGACCAATCAGGCTGCACGTAGACGGAATACATGAGTGAAGCTAATGTCTCTTAAATTTCCTTAGAGAGAGTTTGTTGTAAAGTTTGCTTGATCCTTCAAAGCTGGCTAGTCAACGTGCTTTGGTTGATTTGTACTTGTAACAGGTCAAGTCCACCATTAGCAGATAGTGTTCAATTTGAGCTTTTTCTTCTGGGTTTCTCCTCAAGGTTTTAAAACGCGTCTGCTAGGGGATGTTTCCACACCCTTATAAGGAATGTTTCGTTCCCTTTTCTAATCGATGTGGAATCTCACAATCCACCCTTATTGGGGAGGACCAGCGTCCTTGCTGGCACACTGTCCGATGTCTGACTTTGGTACCATTTGTAACGGCTCAAACCCACTGATATCATATATTGTCCTTCTTGGTCTTCCCCTCAAGATCTTAAAACGCGTCTGCTAGGGAGAGGTTTCCACACCCTTATAAGGAATGCTTCGTTCCTCTCTCCCACCAACGTGGGGTCTCACAACACTCGTATATTTTATAAAGTCTGGTTGGTTTCTACAATAAGTCCGTCTGGTTGTTAGAACGGCGTGGAAGTCTTTGCTGAAATATGGGAAGAGAGAGTAGAAGCAATTATTGTTCTTTATCTTGATGGGGAGGTGAGTGGGTTAAGCTGGTCCCATCAACCACCTGGTCGTTATCTGTAGAGACATATAAAGGAAAAGGATTCAGATATGCATCGTAAAAAGTTCAAATTTGATTTGTTTGCTTTGTATGTAGGGGGACATGCAAGCTCTGGAAGACTTAACGTATGAGAAGAGGAAGAAATTTCTAATGCAGCACCAGTTGCCAGCAGAACTCCCAGTTGTATCATTCCACACCGAAGCCAGCATTTCACCTGCTGTTTTGGCCACCTTGTCTCGTGTTGCTCATGCCG